CGACCCCTTCCCTCGGCAGCCCCTTCCAGCGCCTGACAGCCCCAAGGGGAAGAATTCACTGCTGTGAATTACTGAAATCACTGAAATGTCACTGTGTTTGGCCAACTGCACATCCCCAGGGCTCAGGGGAGCCGCGGCTGCCATCGCTTCTCCCTGTACTGCTCCTGGAAGGAGTGGGGGCTGAAGCAGGAGCTCACCCCCCTGCGAGTTAATTGGGAGTGCGGTTCCCTTTGCAGCCTGGATAAATCTCTGTCTCAGCAAAAAGAGCGCTACAGGTTTCTTGGTATCTGGGAAGAAACATTACACAGCTCTATCGGCCTTCTAAGCACCTAACAAATCAGCACCTCAATGCTTATGAGCACAAAAGGTGGGGTGTTTTTTGGTTTTTTTTCTTTGAATGACCTATTCCAAAAAACCATATTAAATCTACAATAATGTAGTCAGGCCTGTGTAAGAACATCATAACCTTTTCTTACGCTTTTTTTGGTGACTACTGTTTCTTATTAAATTCCTGCTTCACCTTTAGAAATTACCTCTTTTTCTACAGAAACATTGCGCTGTTCCTGTCAGAGCTCTCTGCCCGGTAATTAGCTGTTTATTCAGAGACACACGGGCTGGCCAGCCCTTAGGAGGTCACCTAATTTATCTCTGTGCTTGGTGGCAGGATTTGATTATGGCTGTCATTCCTGGTTGATGTTTGCCTGTAGATGCCCAGTCTCCTTCAGACCTGGAGCACCCGCTCCACTGCCTCCCTATCCCTAAAAACTGAACGCTTTCCCTGATGACCAGCTTGAATTTTCCTTGTCGTTAATCTTCTAGTCCTTGCCCAATGGACTTGGAGGCCATGTGAAAGCCTTAACGTGTTAATGTTTCTGCACAAGTCTTCCCTTCCCTTGTTTCCTCGCTGGTACTTTTTAGGTTCTGGTAATACCCCTTGTCCTGTGCTGGCTTCTCTTCACCAGCTCCACTGAGCTGGACGCAGCGCGTGTGAGCGGGGGCTTTATCAGCGCTGCGCAGGGCGGAAGGATTACTTCATGGGCCTTGCGGAGGACGCTTGCTTTTTTGGCTGGCCTGGGCTGCCTATTTCACAAGTGCCCGACATTGTTTATTCCTCTTCAGTTTATGACCCTCCAAAACCCCAGATCCTTTTCTGTGGCGCAGATATCTAATCAGTTGATAATTGATTATTTATAGCTAGTAATTGACAGTTGATAGTGCCTAAAGGCAGTTGAGAGCTTGTCCCTATTGAACTGCACCCAATTTCCACCAATTTGTCAAGAACTTTCTTAAGGTCTTGGCCTCCAAAGCCCTCACCCCTCTCAGCTTGTGTCACCTGCATGTTTAATAGGGTTCTCTGAACTCCCAATCCAGGTTGTTAATGAATGTAAATCGTTAGCCGCCTTCTCGTCCTTCCTATAAACCCGTTGCATACAGCTCCGCTTTCTGCAGGGTCTTCTCTGGGCCCTTGGGTTGGTTTCTGCTGCTTGTCCTGCTTGTGGTATCCAACCCGAGGGATGACAGCTCAGAGCTCTCAGCACGAGGTTAGGAAGCTGGTCTTGCTCCGGTACAGTTAACTTCCCAAAATACCACTGATGTCCACGTGGCTGTATGGCAGGAGCATTGGACAAGACGGTATGAACCATCAGACAAAACCTGCACAGTTTTCCAGCAACGTTTGGATTTGATTTTCGAGGGGAAGAACAACTTGGGCTATCAGCAGTGGCTGATAGGTTATTTTTTTGGGGTCACTCATTAAACATTCCCGCTCTTGCCAAGTTATTAGAGAATTATCAAACTATGGTACGTAATTAACCCTCAATAAATAAACTAAAACCATTTCTGGGCTAAACTGTGTGCTGGTGTGAAGCCTTCCATCCTGTGGTTAAATCTGTAGTTCCCTTTTTCAATGCATGCTTGTCTAACTTATCATCTGCCATCATTTCTGAAGTACCTATCGCATTTGTACTTGAAAGACAGCAGTTATAAAAGAAACCCACAGGGAGATGACCCAGAGGACGTTTGAACAAACGGAGCAGACTCTTCACAGAACTTTTGAGACTCCGCAGGTAACCTCCTGGGATAGCTGCTGCGATTCGGTTTTGTCTTGTTGTGCTTTGTTTGAAGGCTCGCAAAAGTCCAGCTTTGCAAATTCAGCTTTTGCCTTAGGCTGGGGAATGCGTCTGGAATCTGCTTCTGACCAGCTGCCTGTGAGACAGTGGGGTACGTCGGCTAGAAGTAAGAAAATCATTACCTTGTAGAGGCTTTTTTCTATGGTTTGGATTTCTACTGTCCTTTGAGAAGGAGTGTACCGTTTACGAAGGGAATATATCCTTCACCTTCTGCTTATTACTTTTTACCATATATAACCAAAACATAATATCATTGAGGCTTTTATTTGTCCAGAGAACTTACTGTACCCATTTTTGTGAGGAGCGTAATCCTCTTGCAGATTTCTAGGTAACATCTTTACTTGAGTACAGTTATATTTATTCTCTTTTCAGTAATTCCCCACATGAAACACACAGGGTGTCACAGACATCAAGGTGTTCTTATAGGTTGTGGTCTTACACAGCTATGGAAATACCTCTTCCAAAAGCTGTATTTTCAGTCTTAGTCTGATAGCAAGAAAAAGAAAAATAGCGTTTTTAAAAACAAGGCGGGAAAAGATAAACTGATAAGAAAAACAGGGATGATAATAGAAAACTAATCTGCATTACAGTAACATTTTATATCCAGTTACAGATCAGTAAACTGCTGCTCAGAAAAGGTTGGATCTAACACATGCATGCTTTTAGACAGCAAAAGTGCCTTTGAAAAGTTGATCTTTAGGATCATTTCAAAAGTATAGGGTAAAGCATGTGCCCAGGAAGAATGAGAATCCTTATTTTTTGAGGACAAAGTAAAAAAAAATCGGTAAGTAACCAAACCCACTTTAAGTAAACTGAAGAGAGCGCCAGCTTTTTTATTTGTGCCGAATTCCAGAGCAGTCCTGAAACCAAGGTACTGACATTGCTTGAGTTAGTAAAAGTGAATCCTAAGCAGTTGTTAAACATGAGGCTTTTTAAAGGTTGTTTTCTTTTTTAATAAAGTACTGAACTGATTGCTTTTTCTAAAAAAAAAGAGTGAGTTCTCTTTGCAGTGGAACTAATGAAGCTTCTTTCCCAAAGTCTGGTAGTTTTACCTGATAAAGCTTTGACTGCAGCTGGGGGGGGGGAATGCCCTGCGGTGGGTTCTCGTGTCTTGCTCACCG